CGATGATGATGATGATGATGATGATGATGATGATGATGATGATGATGATGATGATGATGATGATGATGATGATGATGATGATGATGATGATGATGATGATGATGATGATGATGATGATGATGATGATGATGATGATGGCGGTGGTGTATGGCTCCTACTGCGCGTCCTTTTGTTGTGGGTCAGATTGGAGAAGCGCTGGACCAAACTGAAGCCAGACCGAGATAAGAAGTAGCCAGGTTGCGCAGTGTCCACGAGTCCCAAGTCGCAAGCCACAGGTAAGCTTTGTTGGACGGCAACAAAAAGCCCAAGCGAGGGTTAGCGAGCGAATGCCATGTGCGTTGTCATTTAGAGCCATCATTTGGCCAATGGGCGAACAGTCTTCCTACTCGCTACAAAATTTCTCGACGCCAAACCAACACAGTATTTACTGCCGGGACCCACGCGTCTGAGTTGAAGCACCACGAACCTGGTGGCAAGATACGACAGACGGGGACACGCATTAACCAACACATTTGGCAATGGATCAGACATGTAGTTCCACATGACTGACTGCACGTTCTTATGACCATGCTCCTTTCTTCCTCAACGATACCGATACAAACTCTTTTTCGTCAGTTGCTTTCAGGCGAGTGGGCCTGTAACACCCTAAGAGCGTATAAGCCTTCCACCCCAGGAGCCCACACCACGTTAGGGATCATGTGATCACAGCGCCCGAGCTACAGGAACGCGCGTGCATCCAGTCCCTAGGTCAATCACAGGTGTCCATAACTTCATAATCACCCAATCAACTCGCCCAACTGATACTGACGAGTCCTGGCTGGACATTTTTTTCACTCACGTCAACATCACCCTAAGCGACAGATGTGCGCAGGCCCAGAGTCGATAGTGCTCTGACCACAACCAAGTTTCTACATAGAGTAAACAACTGCTGGCGGTGTCTTTTCCCTTCTGCTCTAAAACAGGACTAGGCCATGATTAGAGCATTCAGTGCTTACACGCCGCAGGCGAGACAAGCCATGTTGTGTTTACCACTTCTAGCTCCTGATTATCAGCCAACCATATCGCGAAACGCAGGGTGGAAAATCGAGAGACTGGTTCAGACTTCTCGGTCATCATGCACGAAAACAGACCGGCGGATTCGATGCCCTGTCAGCTGTGATCAGGGACATCCGGTTACAGAAAGGTAGGACTGAGTTATTCATCCTGACCGCAGGACGAGGCAGAAACAATCGAGTTTTGCCAGGGGGGGTCTGGTCTAGGGTTGACGCAGGCGGTCAAATAGCTACGAGCGGTGGCCGATTAAGCACGCATCCGGAGTGACCTTTTCTGGCTCATTTGCCATTTCAGCCGATCATACCCAAACCTCCGAATCCCAACGAACTTCTACACTTTCCTCCCTACTGGATAAGGCGTCTCTCCTGCTGATAGATTTTTTCTAGCCAGCCCGTTTCACTTTCATACATCTGGAACTTTATTCGCTACGTGACCCTCATTCAGTTTATTCACGCGACTCACGTGACCGTGCCGTGATTTGGGGAAACTTTCCTTCAAAGCACCCCTCAATAAAACTCTTCTGATTCCGAAACCCCAAAACAGCGCAACCTCATTTTCCTGACGACTCGTGAGCAGGGGGAACTTCCACCAACAAACGGTACGCCTTGGCGTTACGGTCCACAGCATTAAGATGCGTCAGTGTCTGCATTAGCTAATCGTCCGTGTGTGGTCAGTTGTCCCGATTAGATGATTTGCGGGAGCACTGGTCGTGGTTCACGTGGTGGGCGGTGGGAGAATGCCGATCTCTGCGTTCCAATTATCAGCTCTGCTTGCGTCGGCAACAACAGCTGTTGTCGAGAAATCATCCCGGGGACCTCGCGTACTTCCCCTCCACTGTTAATACTCTTTTGTCATACCATGGCGGCTGTTTTTACTTTTTTTCCTTTTACAGTGACCCTCCTTGTTTCGCGTGTTACAAAACTAATTCGTTCTGCCCAAAACACGTGTCACTAGCCAGGGACCGAGTCTTCCTCGCCTCCTGCCTGTCGACACCAGCAGATGCTGAGGACACTGGCGCGGCAGTCAAGACCGGCCTAAAACAATTAGGAGGTCTCAGCTTAGGGTCATTGTCGAGAATTCCTTGCTCACCAGGCGACAGCAAACACCAAGACCAATTTCCGGGATCCGTGCCGAATTTATAATCAACACTGGACAACGGGAGTGGGACCAGTTTTATCTAGAAATCCTATGACCCAACGAAATCACGTGTAACTTCACCACGTGGGAGACAGCGGCTCCCCTTAGTTGGTTTCGCCATTCAGAAATGATAAAGGAAAGAGTACTGATAAAGAGGAGATGGCCACGTCGTCAGCCAGCCCCACCTAACTCCGGGCCTGGCCCTGGATTCGAACCCAGACCCTCTGGTCGCTGAGTACAAAGTAATTAGACGATCTACCATTGCATCACGGGCCTGTTGATCCGTCGGCTGTAATCGGGAATACTATGGTGTGGAGGAGAGTTTGCCGGTCGGGTTATGGGACATACGTATTCCGCAGCGGTTATAAGCACAACCTAGACTTCTCGAAGGCAGTCGCATTGCAGCCAGTAATGATGTGGGGGAGTGCCGACAAAGATAAGAGACTGGCGTTGCCAGCTCTGGCTGACTAGGTGTCGAACCCCGGGTTATCTAGACCTGGAGCTGGGCTAGTAGGCCGAAAATTGGTATCCTCGTCTCTTTTTTGTATCCCTATGTATTTGACTGCTAGGGTCCTAGGCCGAGCCGCAACGCACAACGGAACGAGTATGTCACATCACCTCAGTAGAAATCCAATCCCAGTCCGGAAGTAAATCCTGCAAACCACAGTCGTGAAACGCAGAGCTCTGCTGCCAACCAACAGATCCGCCCAAGCAGACATGTCTCGCTAAGGACCACATTTAATAAACACTGAAAATGACCAAGCATCAGTATTTGAGCGATGTTCTATTGTCAGTATGGTCAGGGGAAAGGGATATGGGTTTCTTTAAGAGCTGGCGTAATTTACATGTCCGGACGCCTCTGAGACCCCTTCGGTGTCTTCGCTGTCCTTGGGTTCCATATGGCAGCATGACACAGGGAAGCCAAACCCACTGGAGACGCGGACCGCGTGGGGACGGAGGTACGACGAGACTGCGTATAGACAAAATCGACGTCAGGAAAAAGAGATTGCACAAAAACGCGGTACGCAGGGCTGGGCCGAGGACGGCGCGCGCGCACACACGGTCGAGGAATTTGCCGCTGACCGCGCGTTTGGGTAAGGAAACCGCGCACAGCTGCTTGAGGAGGTGAGATGCGTGTTTTCACACGCCCCCTGGTGTCTGCGCAAAGCAGACGGGTCATCCCGGAGGACTAGGAATTGTGGCGCTCATGGGCGGAACGTCTGCGACGACGTTTCCACTTCTTGTGCTTGTGCTTACGATGCTTCGAGACATTTGAATAGGAGGAAAATTTTCTCCGTTTTTCTGTGCTCGAATGGCGCTGGTCATGATGCTTACGCTTTCGTGAAGGCGAACCAGCAACGCCGGCGGACGCTAAGCAAACGGCGTTCCCTTGAAGATCAGCTTTTGTGACCGGTATCCACTCTATGCTCTCACCGGTTCCGCTGCTTGAGACCTCCGAAGAACCAGATGATGATCGAGATCTTAGCCTCGGTGCAGTGTTGGGCCCTTTCGAGTGGTTGCTGGAGGGCGGACTCACTTCAGAGACCTGAAACAAAGAATAAGAGCAAGGGATGTATATCCTACCTCAGTTCTACGCCGAAAGCGAAATGACTAGGACGGCCCCAAATGTACTCTGCTACCTTAATCACTAGCCAGACAGACTATAACCTTTAAAACATGGATGAGTAGGCCGCCGTTTAAAAGATCTTGGAATAGTTGAGCTCTGGTGAACAGTCAAAATATATTCAGGACCAAACTGTTAACTCACGGGAGTCTGGGTTATCTACAACTTGAAATTCCTTACAGACTACCGATTATGGAGAAAGGCTGTAAATACTACTTGAATATCAAAATTAATCGCATAAAATTATGCATGACTAGTTAAATTAACTCTGAAAGTAGAAGCGAGCCAGTGCCGTGATCGGAATGCGACCCTAGCACACAGAGAATTAAGACACGAAGTTGCGTCTCCAGAGGACACTAACTGACGTCCCGATCTTTCAGCTCACCTTGGGAGATGGAAGGGAACTAGGCCGGGCTGGTAACGACTGTGATGTGCCATTCGCAGTCATCGCAGTGACAGAATCGTTGACCCCAGACACCGAGGGAGTACGAACGACACTAGGGGCTGAAACTGTCTGAGCGACAGGACTGAGACCGCTCTTGGGCAGCGAAGAAGGTACGGCTTTGGGAGCGGTGGTGACGGGCACGGCCTTAGGGACATTATCAGGCCCGATCCCGTTGGCCACTGCCGTTGAAGTAGGTGGGTCTAAAATTTCGCGATGTGAAAGCGGGTAAAAGTTACGGCAAATAAAAATGTCTAGGAGTTGATACTTACAGGGAGAGAAAAATAGTGACCTGCTGCAGTGGGAAAGTCGGCACGCAAATGTCGGCTAATCAAAAACGTTTCGCAAATAGGTTTTAGCCTAGGAGGTCGACCAAACACTGGATGGTTTTCATTGGGAGGTAAGTTAAAAATTAAGGCCCTTGGACTGGTTATGGGACGACTGCTGGGACGCTCGAAATTTAAAATCTCAACTTTGAAGGCTGATGAATATGCTAGGAAGCCCATGATGAAAGCTAGAAGACACAATGATGAGTCGAGCGCCTAGTGGCACAAATTAGGCGAAACACATGTCTGAATTGTAGCTAGTACCCGTGCTGGCGGTATTCAAAATCGTTCGACAGTAGTAAATTATGAGTCGGCAAAAATGTAAACCCTATAAAGGCACGCCAAGTGACTCGCACACGCGGCTAACGGGGGTGAAGGCTTGTTGTGAAATGAGTAGGCTCCGGGGTCATACAACAGTCGTGAGATATGCGGCGGTAACAGTAGATATCAAGAAAACTTATAGAACAAAAGGGAATGACGACACTGGATAGTGTCCGCTATCTGGAAATGCTTTACCTGGCACTCCATAATAGTCTAGTTGCTGGCTACCTGGCGAGTCTACACGTAGCAGATAGCTTTCAGGGAAACTTAACTGCGAAATAAGCAGCCTCCCGAGTCTGTTGGGGAAGAGAAAATTCGAACAAATTAAGCAGCCGTTTGGGGATCCGCCTGCACTGAAAACTCTTAGGAAACCTCACTGAGACCACCTAGACCACAGGCGTACCAAATACAGGTAAGTGTAGATGGCGCAAGTCTTTCGCATTCTAAGCACTGATGATGCAAAGGATAATCTCGTATTAATAAACGTCAAGGTAGTCCGATTCACTCTGGACAAAACGGCCGTCAACTGTCCCATATATTTGGTTCTAGGCTAAACGTTACTGAGACAAGAGCCAGCCTAAGTAGTCCCATGTAGATGGATTTATCCCCACCACGTTGATGATAAGAAGCGCGAGGTCAAGTACTTTCGTCCACCTAAATCTTTTGCTACCAAAGGGTCAACGGCAGGAGGAAATGAGCCGTCGCATACAACTTGTGCGAAGAGCAGGGGTGCGCGTGATCCCGTCAGGAGGTTCTGCTGGACACAAAGCTGCAATCAAAGCTGTTCTATCCTACGACTGAGTCGCGGTCTTTGCGCTCTGCAGACACGAAGACTGAAGTGCCTAAAAATTGGTACCTTCGGAAAATATTGCACCCTCAGTCGAGGAACCATATCCGGAAAGCAGAACCTCAGCGCCAATCGGAGACACTCGTATGTGACTCAGATGAGCTGATTCAGTATTTCAGCCCCCCACGGGCCAACTCGCTGACAACGCACATAACTCTGCAACCCTGTCTGAATCGGTGCCGCAGCCAAGGTGACTAAGTGAATAAGTGGGGAGATGTGGTTAAGCCAAATCCGGGGGCGCCGTTGGGCCTGACAACCCCGCATCAAATGTCAACCTGCAGACGATTGCTGTGGTCCAACCGCTGGTCGCAGTTTAGAATGTGGTGGCTCGCAATTCCAGCAACACCAATACGATCTGTAATGGTAAATGCTGACCGGGTTAGTCATTGGAATGAAATAAAATGCTGGCTCACTAGATGACGGTACACTGTCCGACAACTTAGCTCAAAGTGTTGTGGAGCATGACATTACGCCGCAGACAATGACTGGTCTTTTACCACCGTCGACGATAATCTAGACAACGCTCCTGGCTTCTCAACGCGCTTGAATAGTTATACGTAAGCGCAGCGTGTTATCCTGCCAATTTCTTCAGAACACTCGGGTTTTGCAACTGGGGAAAGAATGCTTCATATATCAGTTCTTCGCTCGAATTAATTTATGGCTAGTGGATCGCTACTCGGACTTCAACCATGTGAAGGAAGAGCTCACGAAACCGACCACTGGACCCCGCAATGAAGCAGATAGGACGTTGCCTAGACTAGCAGGGTATCCAAGCTTGAGGCCCGTTTTTCCTTGCTGGCGTCCGTGGAGTGGTGTGCAAATGACAGTTATTAGGCAATTGGTCATAATGCACATCGCGTAGAAATGCCGTCACCCGATACCCACAAGCATTCACAGACATGCCTTGAGCCCGAACCGCTAAGTTGGCCCAAACGAAAATAAAACAAGGAAACCGCCAGGTGATAGTCAATGGTACTTTGTGCACAGGTGGATTCTCGAAGTGCTTTGCAGTACTTTACAGCGTTTGAGTGCCAATCAGCGAAGAGGGCAGAACGGATGAGGGACCTACCATGAGGGAGTTTACGGTACGCGAGGACATGGGGGTTGAAAATTATGGCGGATTTTGGCTTCTGAGTTGGGGACTGTTGTTGCCCCGGCTCTTCGGGCGACACTCGATAGGGGACTGGGTGGAAGGAGCCGTTAGACGACAGAGAGTTAGTCGTAGTCAGGGCAGAATCAGATGGCTGGGACGGTTGTAGTTTCGGGGCGGAGGGAGAGGGGGTCGAATTGGCGGAAACCGTTACAGCAGCACCGCCACCACTGGTCAGTGCATCTAGGGAGACCTGGATGCATAAAAGGAAAAATCAACTGCAGTGTTGTGCACAAACAGTGTTTATGGGGGGACCACTGATTTAGTGACAAAAGTAACAGTGCCAGCGACCGAATGAATACTAACGCTTTCTGACAACGCACGAATGCAACCCACGAAAAATGCCAAAAACCGCCCCGTCCGGAATTGGCCGAAAACAAACAACTTATTACGCGTTTGGAATCTCATCCTTTTTTGGGCAAGTCGACAGTCTAGTTAGGCAAAGTTCATCACTGCACGGAGGTATCAGTGTCGTGGGCGTGAGCTTGATTACAACGGTTGATGGTGAGGCTGATGCGCCTTTATTTTCCGTTTCTGTAGCATGACTAAGACAGGGCGATGGAGACGAGCTTTATGTAGGACCGACAGAGCATATTGAAGTCTGTTCGTCTGCCGTATCCCACGGAAATCACAGGCGTTCTGTCCGTGAGATCCTCTGGTCCCCTTTAGGTCTGGAAACAACGGCGCCTCGATCAAGGGCCTTCACGGAATATGGGGGACAGAGTCAAAACCGTTAAAAGTAAACGATATGCAATAGCCGTAATACAGTAGCTTTCAGTAGAAGGCATAAAATGGGGAATGGGGACTCACGGCCCTTATGAACGATCGCCGCATCTTTAAGAGGGCCGCAAGATCAGTCATGATAGGTTCAGTATCAGTGCTCTCATGCCATAGAAATGCAAGAAGCAAGATCGTGGAGGGTGATAATCCGGTGATTTGGTCTTGGGCCTCAGTTTGAACAGTACCGCAGGGAACAGAGACTGTGCGATACGATGCTCGACAAACTTAGTTCGCACAAGACGGCGGAAAAGTCCGAGTGCCTTGGCTTTTAATGGAAGGCTGACAACGATGACAAACGGTGGTTTAACAAAGATAAAAAAAGCTTAATTACTACGACTAGAGAGTCAATTCTCATTCCAGAAGAACTTATCATCTCGCTTTTGCCGCGAGTGCTTACCAATTCATAGAAGAGTAAATACGGCGACTGACGGAGAACACACTCCTGAGTGGTCGACGTTACCTGGAAAGGGGAAACAAGTAATGCTTTCACAAATGCGCCAAAAGGGAAACAAACCTCGTCTGTTTTACTGTTCCTTGATGCATTTATCAGGATAAATGTATAGACACTGCTAATGCCTGTAGCTCTTGCTCAAACATCGTGTTTGGGCTGCACCGGCGCTCGTTTTAGGGCCAGATTGATTTCAGGAAGCTGCAGTACTATGAAGTCGGCAAACGCAACAAAATATTATGATGCCAGTCTGCCGAAGGTGAAATAAATGGGCAAACAAGAATACTTTCAGAAAACAGCAACAGACTATGCGTAAATCGTCAGACGCTGGATTCAAACAAAATTTTGAATTTTAATCCAAAATTTGTCTTACTAAGCTCTACGCCAGTTATCTGGGAATAACTAACAAGCTTTCAAACACAACATAATCCCTTATCGGCAATTCATTCAGTTTTATTTGGGAGAGCGTGTGATGCAACTACAACGACCATCTATGGAGGTCCGCGTGTCCTAATAGGATATGGTCATGAAGATTTGATTGCCGACCGATTGACCGCAACAACAGCCTGAGAAACACGCAAGCAAGTTCTGCAACAATAACGTGGTCACGTATCTCAGATAGCTGTGGTCGAAGTTGACTTGTTTTAACGCTCAGTCTAACACTGTGGTTTCTAGCTGGCACAAGTAGTTTATTAGGCCTTTTCTGCGTCCCTGAGGTAGTAGTTAGGTCATGCCACGCATCTTGACCACCCGCAAAGCGAGTAAATAGTGTGACACAATGAGAGGACACCTGGTTGAAAACATTATAGAGGCACAAGGAAAGGGGCTTACTTTAAAAGGAATAATACTTGCTATAATGCTATAAGGCGCTATACGAGTTGACTGAAACATACTATGGGCATGCAAGAGATTGAGTGGTATGCCAGGTCAAGAGATTGCTGGGTGACTTACGATGCTGTCATTGTGCGAAAACCACTGATTATTGCGCCTGGTGAAGGCGACGTAGTGACCGGACCTACAGCTGTACCCTTCATGATTCAAAGTGGCGTAGAGCCGGTAGATGACCGAAGGACCTCGTGGGGGGGTCATATGGGGACGCATGTTAAAGGTAGCAGGGAAATCAACGCGGGTGTCCAGTTTCAGGTTGCGCGAAAATCTAATTTTAAACAAAAATAAGGAATAGACGCAAGTAACGCGTTGGAGAAGGGATGGCGAGGTCGGCAAGTATATAGGCCCTAAGAGACATGGGTAAGAGAGAGTAACATGAAAATATGGCCGTGCATGAGGCTGGAATTTGCACAGAAAAGTACATCCTGGGTGTGCCAGGAAAGTGACAAATTCCGAGCTAATATGCCTCCCTGAGTCAAAGGTAAGTTCATAATTCAACCTGCTGAAAAATTAGCTTGAACGGTGCGCATGTGTTGGCAGAATTTTGCATTGTGGATAAAGTCCAAGCAATAGTGTCGCCTGGGTGGCAGAACTTTAAAGCCGTGCACGACCGCCAGCATGCCACAAGGGCACACGAAAACCCCTCTAGAGGGGAATAATGACGCGGCAATCAGTTCACTTGCGTGTCAATTATGAAACCCTGCAAATGATTATTCAGGTGGGGCTGCAACAATCACAGCAAACCGGTGGAGTATTTTGTCCATTTCATTCTGCTTCGGATCACGGACTGGAAGGCTAATCCGATATGACAGACAAATAAAATCGACGTCCCAGCGATCAACTGACATTGTTTATGAAGTTTACTCGTCGCGTAAGCCAATTTTCGTCAAAAAAACGGGGAAGAAGGCGGAATCCAAATTAGATTTCTGCTTATAACATTTAATTGTTCTGTATCAGCAACCATTACCTCCAACCGGTCGACAAGAAAACAAGGTGTTGCACACGGAACGAAGTCAACAGCTGAACTCATGCTGTTGACCCTGAGAGTCCGCATTTTGTTATTGGGGAACAGCCAAAACTTCACTGACTTGGTCTCAGGTAGTATTTGCTGGGTTCCCCTCAAAGCATTAACGATAAAGCTGTCGAAAGACAGCAGGACTTACCTGTTGAACTGTACAACAAGAACAGGAGGTGCTCGAAAAATTCGACAGCATCGAGTGGCGTGGCGGAGTTGCTTGCACGTCTCACATTTGTACGCATTAGCGCCCTGAAGGACTTCCGGTTGCGTGTAGTTGAAGAGGCATTGCTTAATATAATGCAAGATGACGTTTTATCTACAACTCTTGAGTGAAAAGGACGTTGAATATCGGTGAATGGCCAAAAAGCAGGTCAACTGTGTCAAAGTACAAAAGCGAGATAGGCCGACTAGGGGATAGTTTGCACAACCAAAGACCGAAGTTTGCAGGGGGCAAACTGTTATCAAAGGCACAATAAACGTTTAAACTATGCAAAACGGAAAACTCACCTGTAAACTTCGAGCATGTGTAATGTCCATTGACAGATTGAACCACTGGTCGTTTCTTGGCGATGTCTTTCGGCAAGTGCTGCAGGT